GGATCGTCCGGATCCATATCCATGATATGCCCAGACCCATTACCTAAAATCCATGACCAGTGTTGTTTATGGCATAAAGCAAACCGAAGCGAGCGCTTCATTGAAACAAAGCAAACTATATAAAAAATAAGCAAATATTTAAGTTTGATACTTTGATTACTCCAAAATATTCAAGTTTTAACTTTACAAATACAAAATATTTAAACGCAACCAAAATAATAAACATCTACATATTTTAAATAGACAAGATATTAAATATTAAGCATTATTACATTCTAAAAATAATTAATTGACATAATCACGTCGTCTAAATGTAAAGACGCTAGCCTTTTTTAGATAGCAAATGGTGTGTTTGACTCCCACCGTGATTGATTAATATCACCACTAAACAGAGCACTCACAAATTGATTAATCAAATAGAACAAATAACAAATTGATTAACCAAAGAAATTGATTAGCTAAAGCATTCACCACAAAACAAAACATTCAACATCATTTAATCATAACAAGACAAATTGTCATATCAATTACCCAGATGATTTTTTAATCGTATCCATGATTGAATAAAAATCTTTTTTTTGCCTTCCACTTCATAATTCAAAGCTTATGGTTTTTCAATCAAGTGGAAAAAAAATTAAATGAAAAGACGCTAGCCTTTATAGATAGAAAATGTGGGTTCACGTCCCACAGTGATTGATTAATATCAGCACTAAATAGAGCATTCATAAATTGGTTGATGTTAAAGAAGAAGAAAAAGGAGGACAAGAAGGACAAGGAGGAGAAAATAAAAAAAAATTGCAGTCAGGCATTCTCTGTTCTCGCCTAGCTCGCTTCTTTGCTTCGTCGTCTAGGCTCGTTTTTCTTAGCCTCGTTTTGCCTGAGCTATTCAAGGCAATCAAGACTCACTTCGCTTCGCTTCTCTTCTCATTTTTCACAACCCTATCCATAACTACCCACTACTAGTCTCTCTCTCTCTCCTCCCTACCTATGATATAGACCCCCTCGTCACACACTCCCATCATCCATACCGTAGCCCCTAACATGCCACCCCCAACCACCACGGTCTCCTTCCCTCGCTCCTAATCGACCCTACACAACCCCTCCCCACCCCCTGCTGCCCTGCACACAAACACAGTCATAGCAATAGATGACACCGGTGGTACAACAACAAGACAGACAACACCACCGCCACACACCTCCATTGCCACCCAGTGCACACACTTCCTCCACCATTTTTCTCATCATTCAATAGCCACTAGCATCACACCTCCGCAACTGTTTTTCACCCAAAAATCAATTCCCTCAAAAATAAGTCATGGAGGCTCATGATTCTCATGTTTCTGACCTCAAATTAGCCACAACAACCGGTGTTATTTAAGGCGTAAAGCGAACCGAAGCGATCAAGACTCTTAAAGCCTAGGCGAGAAGCGAGAAGCGAGAAGCGAAATAAAACGCTTTACCAAAGCAAAGCGAAATAAAATGCTTTACCAAAGCGAAGCGAATAGTTACAAAAAAAAAAGTAAATATTTTAGTTTAATTACTTCTAACATCTAAGTTTTAATTTTATATATACTAAATATTTAAACGCAAGTAAAACCATAAACATTTAAATTAAAACAAACACTCATATGACAAAGAAAAACAGAAGCAAAATCAGAACTAGGGTGGACCAGAGAGGTGAAGAAACAAAAAAAAAAGTAAGTTTAGATTATGAAGTCGTTCAGCTGTTTTTGTAAATCTATTTTTATGTATAGTCATGGGCTTGTACACATGTACTGAATCACATTTTATAACAGAGTTGTAAACAATTTCATATTGACTGGTGTTCAAGTTTAGATCATCAAAACAAAGAGTGACTATATGACAGAATAACAGAAGCAAAACAGCACTATCAGAACAGCAGAAGCAAAATCAACAAAACAACAGAAACAGAAGCAGGAAAAAAAAAAAAGAAGTAGAATCAAAACACAAAAAACAGATGCATAATCAGAAAAAAAAAAAAACATTAAAAAAAATTCTCAGCATCAAACAATCAACAGAAGCAGAAAAAAATAAAAGAACCAGAATAGAGAAGAACCAAGACTAGAAAAGAGAAGAACCAAAACCACAACCAAAAGAGAAAAGAAGAACCAGAGAAACAGGAGAGAAAAAAGATGCAGAAAAGAAGATTTAGAGAAGAGAAATAGAAGAGAGAAAACAAAGAGAAGGAGACTAACCTGTGTCTAACCAATCATCGTCGTCATATGTGTCTAGAAGCAGTTGTCGTGTCTGATAATTTGAGCAAAATTAGGGTTTGGGAGCTGTATTTATGGGATAAGACGATAATTCTGAGTATTGGCATCTTATAATTTTTTTTCCAATTGCCCAATCCAATGGTTCATAATAAAAATAAAACAATCCAAGACAATTTTACCTCGCATGACTAAGGTGCTCGCTTTCTCGCCTTTTGCTTAAACGCAAGGTGCTCACTTTTTTCGTTTTTTTCTCGCTTCAGTCACATTCACTTCGCCTGGGGCACTCTAAGGTGAAAGACTCTCGCTTCGCCTCGCTTCTCGCCTAGGCGAGTTTTTCAAAACACTGGCAACTACCATCGATATCTTCTTCTCATCCACCATTTCTAGCGTTTCAATAGAACACAATGCCCAAAAACATTAGTTGTAGCAAAAAGGTGCTAAGAGGGTGAGGGTTTTTGAGCTGGAGGTGTGGTAGGAGGAGGGGCTTTGTGGGGGTTAGAAGCAGGCAAGGGGGTGTGTGGTGGCAAGGAGGAGTACCATCGATATCTTCTTCTCATCCACCATTTCTAGCGTTTCAATAGAACACAATGCCTAAAAACATTAGTTGTAAGTTGTAACAAAAAGGTGCTAAGAGGGTGAGGGTTTTTGAGGTGGAGGTGTGGTAGGGGGAGGGGCTTTGTGGGGGTTGCAAGCAAGCAAGGGGGTGTGTGGTGGCAAGGAGGAGCGAGAGAAGAAGATTGGGTAGTGGTAGTGGTGGAGGTATTAGAGGGGAGTCACGATTTTTTCTCTTGGAATCCGAAGATAATTAATTAATTACATGGTGATTTGTAGATTGTCTGGAATTAAACAATGTTTCAATTTTAATTTATTTAACTTCATTAGTGGTTTGTATATTAGTAGGAATCTGTGCAAGGTCACATACTTGGTAAAAATAATCAAAGGAATCAACAAATTTATTATCAATTATTTTGAACTAAAATGGTTCAAAAAAATTTAGCAGTATGAGTAGGTTGCAGGCAAATCATTTTTTCGGATCTTATTTAAAATGTTATTCAAGAAAACTTAAATTTAGCAATATAAGTGATTATCTGCTACCAGATCTGCACTGACTGCAACAAATCAAGAGATCAGTAATTACTTCATCCATTTAGAAGAAAATTCTACAGAATGAGAGCAAAGGGAGAGAGGGATGTTGTTGGGGGGGGGAAGGGGGGGAGGGATTCATTGATGGTTTATTTTCATTATAAATTTCTTGGTAGAACAGATAGCTGATTGACACTACACAATGGTCACAACCATTCTACTACGAAATAAAATAGTAAAAATGAAAGACAAAGCTTTTGTAGTGATAGTATAAAGCCCAGCCCAGCCCAGCCCAGCCTAGTAAAATAACAGCAACTAAATTTCAGAAAATATGTTTGTATGTACATCTAACAGCACTTTCTTACATTGTTATATTCTTTTCAATTGACATTCCTTGACTGAAATTAGCTAACATCTCAGAGCATTTACAATTGTTCTTTGGTTAGGCAAGCATTAGCAAGTTTTAGAGGGTACAAAATAAAAACAAAAAATACTTGTTCCAATAGATTTGTGGAATTTACTCAGCTACCAACATCTTTAAAACTCAATAATAGCTCCAAAACCTTAACATGAAACAGGGCTATGATATTTCTATAAATAAAAAAATTTAAACCTCGACGCAACATAGAAACACAAGCAAGGGCAGAACCACATGGGGACCAGGGTGGGCACTTCCCCCCCCCACCAAAACCAAAAAAAATTTTTTTTGAAAATTTCAATAATGGTTCTAGTCTTTTCTTTTTCCAATAAATTAGTTGTCCACCAAACCTCTAAAATAAATATTTTATTTTAGGATTAACTAAATCATATGTAACTATCCTGATCTATTTGTATATTGATGAAAAGACAGTATTTCTCTTTATTTAATACAATGTTGATTATATTTTAAGAACAATTTTTAATTTTCATTTACCATTTTTTTAGTAATAGTAATCTATAATCCAATAAAATACGATTATATGTAAAAGACAAAAGATTGTAACCCAAAAATATTTCAAGTTATTTCGAACAAGGAATCTCAATAAGATCGTTAATGATCTCCACTAAGTTTTGCAACCAAATGAAGAAAGATTTTAATACGGACTTGATTGTACACATTGATAGAAAATTAGTGAAAAATTAATTTATATTTAATTAATATACAAAATGTTAGAAATTTGAAAGAACAATATATTTTATTGAAATACTAGCGATAGCCCGTGACTAAAGTCACTGTTCACTGAATTATTACATTGTGCATGCATTAAAATATGTGTTGGAGTGTGTATATATATGTGCAGCTGTGTGTTGTGGAGTGTGTGTTGAGTTTTTGAAATTTGGGGGGAAAAGTGTGTGTTGAGTATGTGAAATTTGGGGAGAAAATATACCTCCATAAGTTCAAACTCTCATCTGTTTTATTATATAGATATAATTGGGTTACAATGTACTAGAAAAATTATTGGGTATTTTTATTCAGAATTTGTTTCTGCTAAATAAAAATTGAATTTACTAATTCACAATAATTTTGTCCTGAGTCTTGATTTTTTGTCATTCTTGAACTTAATTTTTTTGCATCAACTAGTGGATTGTTTTCAGTTATATTTTGCCCCCCTCATAGATATTTCTGGCTCCACCCCTGAACACAAGCACATGCACATATACATTGAAGTAAGATGCGAGTCATGTAAACTGTATATTACCAGCTACTAGGTAACAGGAGTTCACTCTCGACGCCTGGCCCGTCCATCATCATGCCGGTCACCATCATACCTTCTTCTCTCACTGGAACCAGAATCATCATACTTAGCTCTCTTGGAGGAATCTAGTTGTCTATCCCTCTCATACCTTGTAGTACCACGCTCTTCTTCCATCTCCCTTCCATGCCTTCTTTGCTGATGCTCCCCATCTTTCTCATACTTTTTGTAAATCTCGTCTTCATCTCTTTTGTGTTTTCTCCCATGGTCACCTTCATCCCTACTTTGTCTTCTACCCCGTTCATGCTCCTCATAATTTTGATCATTTTTCCTACTTTTATGAGGCAAGTCACTCCCAATCTGACTTTTGAGCCCCCGTTCAGAATTCTTATCCTCATGTCCTCTGTCAGATCTATCCAATTTTGTGTAGTCATGTCTCCTATGATCATCTTTATTCCTGTATGATCTACTGTTTCTCTCAGATTCAATATCCCTGCTATGTTCTGCCTCTTTCCCAAAATTCCGACTTCTTGACTTTGCCTCTGGTTGCTCATCCTGGTTTCCATTGTCAGCCTTCCTCTTTCCCTTCATCATCTCTCGACTTAAATCAGCAGATCCATCCATTACATATCTCCTTGATTGGGACAGCTCCTCTAATTGCCTGAATGTGTCTGACGAATCATCCACATTGTGATGACCACGTTTTTCTCTCCTCCTATCATCAGTTCCAACAGCATTAGCTTTGTCCTCTAGACCAGTACCACCTCTGCCACTCAAATCATCTCTACCACCACTTCGCTTCTTTTCTAGAGGCTTCCTCCTAGCAATTTTCTCACATCTGTCATCACTAGTGTCGCTGCCCGAATCATTCTCACTCTTCTCATGAGAATCGCCACTCTTAAAGTCATTGCCACCATCCTCATAGCAGTCATTCCGTCTGCTTTTCTGAATCTTCTTTATTTTTCCATCATAGTCACCATTAGACTTGTCTTTCTCAGTGTTATTATACCTTCTCCCACTCTTTTCCACACTCGCTTTTTTGTGTTTTGCTGCTTTTTCAGAATCAGAGTCACTTTCCACACCATACCGTCCAGCTTCCCATCTATCACTGCTGATTCTCCTATGATCTTTTGAACTGAAATAACCTTTCTCTGGCCTGTAATTTACACTTGGCTGATACCTCTTTCTCTCTAACTGTTTTTTTTTACATTCCTCCCCACTGTCAGCATCAGATTCATCATCAGAATCACTTCGCTTGCTCCTTTTGGAAAGTTGATTCACCCTTTGACTGCTACGTTTAGGGCTTTCATCCAAACTAGAGTCAGTATCATCCGATTCATGCCGCTTGCTCTTTTTGGAGCGTTGATGCACCCTTTGAGAATTACGTTTAAGGCTTTCATCAGAACTAGAGTCATCATCATCTGAATCATGCCTCTTATGAGCTCTTTCATATTTCTGATCATAATCAGACTCAGAATCATCACTGTCATGCCTACTTTTCTTGTGTTTCCTTGATGATTTTTGCATCGTCTTCCTAACATCAATATCAAAATCAGAATCAGAGTCAGTATACTTCCCTCGACCATTTTTCCTATCCTTCTTAGGCCTTCCCAAACTTTTTCCACCGCTATCAGTGTCAGAAGAATCTCCATCTTTTCTCCTTTTGCTTTCTTTTTTCATCTGCTCATCTCTTACATTTGCATTCTTATTTTTTACACCCTTTTTTATATCATCTTTTTTCTCTCCAGTGTCTTTCTCATGCCCCTTGACATCATCACTACCACCATTTTTCCTGCTATTTCTTGGTCTATCATCATCAAAATCCTCTTCAACAGAATCAGCCTGCTTCTTTTTATCATCACTTTCAACCCCTATTCCAAGTGCAGCTTTTAAAGTTTCCATCTGCTTCTCCTTCCTGGCAGCAATCTGGTGGGTCTGCGTATCCGAATATCTGAGAAACCCAACCAAATAATAGTTTGCATCAATGTTTCAAAATGACACATAGAAAATGCACGACATTTATCAAGTATATCAGATTTGGAACACATGCACCAAAAGAGTAAAAAATAGATTATCACCATAAAGCTGAAAGAATATTGCAGAACAATAATAAAACAAATGTTGTGGAAAGATTAAAAAGGTGAAAGAATCTGCTGAAACGAAAAGCCTAATTTCCGTCTCAATAAATATAGGTCATTTTGTTCAATATGGCAATCTCAATGGCATACCAACTAGATATGAGTTTACTAATGCAAAGCATAAATAAATCATTGTTACTGCACAACAAAAAGATTAAGAGCTCAAGAGCTTGCTTTGGAAAGAAAGGGTAACCAGGGCAGGGGGAAAAGCATGATCTCCCTCGAATCAATCCCTACTCTGAAAAAAATTTATGCCTCCACAACAAAGCCATCTAGGAATACAAAAGTGGACCAGACCACCTAACCTTGTAACCGAAAGCTCATGCAATTTAACCTTTAACCAATTGTGGCCACTAAGGCCCTAACACTATACAAATGCCAAAAATCCTTGAATTTTCAAACTACAACTATATCACTTATCCACAGTACCATCTCGGCTGCTGGGGAGATGGAACTCATCATCTTTAATCTTCTTTGATACAATAGAACAGATATATTATGTAATATCAAAACTGCAATGCCATATTCAAACCAAACAATCCTATATAGAATTATTTACCAAAACAAATATACCCAAATAAACGGGGAAAACGAAATTTACTTCTTGTCAGATATGACAATTGTGGTGGGGCCACCAGCCTCCTCCGAGAGTGAGGTGGCCTCGATAGTCCTCCGAGCCTCATCGAGCTTCTCGGCAATCTCAGCATCAGTGAAACCTTGATCAATTAACTTGTCTTCAAGGACGACAAGCTTGAGCTGGATCTGGCGTTTCCGATCGTGCTCAAGAATTTCCTTGTTGGGCTTCTTGGTGAGCCCGGCCGTGCCCTGACCGGACTCAAAACCCTTGTTGTCGACGATGACCTTGCCGGTCTTGGGTCTCACGAAGAACTTGTTTGCTTGGACGTACCCGTTCGTTCCCGAGCCACGGGCTGTTTGTAATCCGATTCCATTGTACATTTTTGCTGCTAAATCGAAAATAAAAGAAGTACTTGATGAAAATTTGCTGGAAAAAAAAACCCTAGTTTGATTGAACAATAGGGGAAATTGAAACACTAGTTATGGTTAATTTTGGGAGAGGGGGGGGGGGGGGGGCAACAGATTAGTTTACAGAAAGAGGAAGAGAATTTACCAGATAAAGACTCGGATGGATTTCACAACAGATATAGCCAAACTAATAGAGAGAAGAGAGAAGAGAGAAGAGAGAAGAGAGAAAAGGTTCCTTGATCGTGAACGTATGGTGATAATAGGTGTAATTTACCAAAACACGATCAATTTAGGGAGAATTATATTGAGACCCACTATAATTTGTTATTTAATCCTTTGACTTTTTTATATTTAAAATATTATATACAGACCCGTTTAAAATTTGTATGCACATAATAATATTAGACCCTGCAGTCATTGTCCGTTAGTAAATTATACTCAAACCTCCTGAAATACTTAGACACTGAGCGCAATTTATTAACGGACTAGCGATACCTCGTGACTAAAGTCACTGTAAACTGAATTATAATACTGTGTATACATTGAAATGTGTGTATTAGAGTGAGTGCATGTATGTGCAGTTGTGCGTTGTAAAATATGTGTTAGGTTTTTGAAATTTGGGAGGGGGATGTGTGTGTTGGGTGTATGAAATTTAGGAGAAAAAATATGCCCTCATAAGTTCAAACTGTATCTGATTTATTATATAGATATATGACAGCATGAGTCTAAATATCACACGCTTACGAACTTCAAAGGTTTGTATATAATACTTTAAATTTTAAGGAGTTTGAGTGATTAAGTGACGAACCTCGTAAAAGTCTGGTGTAATTCTCCCATCAATTTATAATAAAGTTATCGGTACTTTAGAACTTAGTAGGAATGAACGATTGCTCGTGAATAATTTTAATTATATTTTTTTGTTGAATCTATAAAGATATAAATTTGATATTAAAAAATTAATCTATATTTTATTTCTTGTTAAACTTAATTATTGAAAAAAATTAAATATAATATATATTTGATCTTAAAATTAAATTTAATAACAATATGTATGTAACAATATAATATAGGTTCATCTTTGCTTCTGCGTATAGAGATAGAGATAGAGATAGATATGAAAAATTTTATGTAAGTATACTACTTATAGAGGAATGCAAAAGAATTTAGAAATCAAATCTATAATAATAAGAGAAAAACTCATTTCAAGCTTCCCAAATTAAAACTAGCTCTCCCAATTTAGAAAAGTAGAAGAACGACTAGTATTTGATTGAAATTTAGGTATACAATTCAGATCTCATCTAAATTCATCTAATTAAATTCAATGGCTCACAATCCATCCCACCTAAAATACAAATCCAAACCACTAGACCTACACACACGCCACCCAATTCAATCTCCTCTCTCTCTCTCTCCCTTGCTCATTTGTCGTGCTACCATGGGCAGCTCTCTCCCTTTCACGACTTTCACACACACACATATATAACTCTCTCTCTCTCTCTTAATCATCTGCCAAGAACAAGCCTAGGTACCCTTCATCTCGTCGCACATGCTCACACAGCAGCAACGCGCGTGCACACACACATACACACAATCGAACACACACAACACACATTTGAACACACCTAGCACATACACACACAAAACACCACACACAGACACACATTCGAACATAACCAGGACACACACATTTGGGTGTTTTGATTATTATGGTGTTTTCCTTAATTGTGGTGACTTCATAATTTGAGTTTTTTTTTTTTTTTGCATACTTTGAGTGTTTTGAATGATTTTCATAATTAGGGTGATTTGTCAATTTGGGTGTTTTTATTATTTTGGTGTCTTCATAATTGAGGTGATTTCATAATTTGGGGTTTTTTTTGCATAATTTGTATGTTTTGAATGAATGTTATGGTTGTTAGTGTTATTTTCGTTGAATGTTTGATTTTATGTTATGTTTTTTAAATTGAATGGGTTTTACTTTCCTAATTTAATGACTTTTTAGTTTCATTATATATGATTTTTAGTGTTTTTTTGATGTGAATGTGATATGTTATAGTTGTTAGTGGTATTTTGATTGAATGTTATGGTTTCAAAATTTAATGTCAGGTTTATTTTGAATGTGATTGGGTTTCTGATTTTAGTTTTTTTATGACAATGGATTTATTGATTTTAATTTCAAATTGTGGATTGAAAGTTAGGTTTGTGATTGAATGTTTAGGTAGACAATGTATGAAAGGATTATTTTCAAATTTCGGATTGAAAGTAAGGTTTGAGATTGATTGTTTGGGTAAACAATGTATAAAAAGGTGTGTGGGTTTGTTGACCCATACTTGAAGGGATGTTGACTTCATTATTTTCAATTTGAATGTTTATTTTATAACATTATGGTTTGGTGATTACATTTTTTGGAATTAGAATTTAGGTTCGTGACTGAACATTATGGTTTCAAAATTGAATGTTAGAGTTATTTTTATTAGAATAGGTGTTCATAATTTAATGAAATACTATATTTAGTGTTTTGATTGAGATTTGGTACTAATTAAATGTGTAGCTACTACCGTTGGCAAAAGAAAAGGCCACCTCTAAGGAGAAAGGAAAGGCCTCCTCTTCTACCAAAGGAGCAGCTATTAAAGTTTTCCAAGTGATAAGACTTTTCATCTTACTATTTCTTTATGGTTTTATTTGTATAAAGATGTCTATCTTATTATAATTATGATGTTAGTAAATAGTTTGGTAAATAATTATGTTAAGGCATCATTATGATATAATTATAAGATATATCTAGATAATTGTAAGAGATGTTAAGGCATCACTATGATAAGATATGTTCAAGCAACAAATTAATAATTAGTTTCTGTACGTTTCTAATGTGTTTCAATAGCTCATTTTTTAACATAATAGTCTTCGAATGGTTTACATTAGTTTACATTAATGCATCACCGAATACCTCTTACCTACATAATCTATAATAATAAGGGAGAGTTGATTTCAAACCTCCCAAATTGAAATCAGCTCTCCCAATTTAGCCTAGTAGAAAAATGCTCAGAATTATTTTTACTTGGATCAAATTTCATCCAACAGTCCTATGGTAATCCCCAAACAACCTCCCCTCACCCATCTCGCCCATGCACAACCCCCAATGCCACACACCCACTATCTCTCTCTCTATTATCCTATTCTCTGCTTCTTTTTCTCCCCAATAGCATCATCACAAACTACTTTATCACTTCTCTCTTTCTCTCTATTTTGGCTCTATATGAAAAGGCAAAAGTACTATGCTTGGTTTACTTTTAGTTTTGGTTGTTTTCAATTGCATTATCTTGAATTTGTATCTTTGTCTTTCTGCCATTTTTTTTTCTATTTTTCATTGTTAAATCATTCTAATTTCTCGTATCAACTCTTTCTATTCAACTATGCTTCTTGGTCCAAACTACCAGAGATAAAGTATTCATAGAACTTTGCATGAGTTCATTAAATTAATATACTCTACAAACTATAAATGTTACTTGGTGTTCTTGACAGATATTTTCAATTTAAATTATATTGTGAGTTTGGTATTCTTAGGAAGCATGGTTTGAAATTTTTTTTAAGCAAAATATGCTAATCATTTGTTTTAAGCAAAATATGCTAATCATTTGTTTTGCCAAAATATAATCACCATTCTTTGATTGGTTTGTGTTTTGAGGACTGAGGTTTCTATTGGATAACAAATAAAATTTTATAGAAATTGGTGTCAATTACATTTTGTTTATAAACTTTACCGTTTAGCCACCATCGTTGCAACCACACAAGCATCTTGATTTACATTATTCTATCGTTCATTTCAAGAAAAATACTGCCATGATCTGCGAAAAGGACAAGGGTACAAGTTTCGAGTAGTAGAGCTTGTTTTCCAATAGTACAATGTCGAGAGATGTATAGGAGACAATTTTTTTCACAAACTTTACTTGTAGAGCGAGGAGTTAATCACGTTGGGATAAGTAATTCTTTTGTTCCTTCGTTATTTGACTCAAGAAGGTGGGCTGAGCTATTTGTGACCCTTATGCCTGTAAATATGGACGTGGTTAGAGAGTTTTACACATTCATTTGTAACACTACAAAGGATAGTGAACATTTCACGACAAACATCCGAGGTGTTCTATTTGAGTTTTTCACTGACTTGATTACCACCACCCAACGTCTTCTCAGGTAGCACGTGTTGCTTATCATTTTCGAAGAGGGGAGAATTGCTAACACTCTTCCATTTGGTTATCTGATCACTTATATTTGTCTAGACAAGGGTGCTGGTACTTTAGACTTTGATTAGATTATGAGACCAAAGAGACCTTTAGGGAAGGAGTCTTTAAGACAGAGTGAGACACATGCTAGATATACTAATACATGATATTACTACTATAGAGCCTGGTACATCGAGTCACGCACCACCATTGAGACAAACGCGAGGTCATACCTCACATACCACATGATTTACCTTAATTAGTATATAAATTAGAATAATTAATAAGTCAAATTAGTGTGATAAAATAACTAAAAATTATTAATTAAGAGTTAATTAGGGTTTGTGTGTAATTAGGGTTTTATGTGTATTATGTTTAAAATTTTCAGGGTTAAATGCTAAAATATCAGAGAATACAAGGAACAATGCATAAAAGCATAAAAGAACAAAGGCTAAAGTGTAATTTTCCAACAAGAAGAATCAGCATACAACACAAGTTGCAAATTCTAGCAAAGCACTACCGTCCGGACGGTGGTGATGGCGTTTAGACGATCCCCCTTGATCTTATCTCCAGCCTTCCACCTTTTGCTTCTTCAAACGGCTATAAATAGCCATGCCCTGCTTCATTCTTCAACAAGCCGAAACCAAGAGAGAAAAGAGAAAAATAAAAAAGCGAATAAATGTGATTGTGTTTCAGTTGTTCCTTGTGAAAGACATTTTAAATTATGTCTTTTAATTTCAGTTATAATGAAAATTGTCTACACTCCTTGCTTGTCTGTAGCAATGGCGCGTGAGTAGTTTCGTATATCCTCCAGTAAGAGGTAAACATATGTATAATACTGGTTAAATTCTAGAAATGCTGATATTTCATATATTTATATATCTATGTATTACATGCCTCATGCATGATACAGTGATGTACGTACTTTCGGTGCTGTGCCTGGAAGTAGGTCATCAGTACATCATCAACCTGTCAGTCAAACAACCACGACATTCCTATCGG